TACCTAATTGGATAATGAGAGAGGTGATGATGAATGGGGTGGGTAGGCGTGGAGGGGGGCGTGGGGCAGGGTGGAGGGGGGGCGTGGGGTAGGTGAGGAGGGGGGCGTGTTTGAACTGCTTAAACACACTGTTGACGTTGGTTGGCTGGGTGTTTTGTGAATGGTGTGTGGTGTGTGTGTGTGTGTGGGTGGTTGTGTGTGTGTGTAGGGTGTGGGTATGGTTGTGGTGTGTGTGTGTAGGGTGTGGGTATGGCTGTGGTGTGTGTGTAGGTGTGGGTATGGTGTGTGTGTGTGTGTGTGGTGTGTATGGTGGTGTGTGTGTAGGTGTGTGTGGTGTGGTGTGTGTGTAGGGTGTGGGTATGGTTGTGTGTGTGTGTGTGTGTAGGTGTGTGGTGTAGGTGTGTGTGTGTGTGTGTGTGTGTTGTGTGTGTGTGTGTGTGTGTGTGTGTGGGGGTGTGGTGTGTGTGTGTGTGGGTGTGGTGGCATGGTGTGTGTAGGGTGTGGGTATGGTTGTGGTGTGTGTGGTGGTGTGGGTATGGTGTGTGGTGTGTGTGTAGGTGTGGGTATGGTTGTGGTGTGTGTGTAGGTGTGGGTATGGTTGTGGTGTGTGTGTGTAGGGTGTGGGTATGGTTGTGTGTGTGTGTGTGGGTATGGCTGGTGTGTGTGTGTGTAGGTTGTGGGTATGGTTGTGGTGTGTGTGTAGGGTGTGGGTATGGTTGTGGTGTGTGTGTAGGGTGTGGGTATGGTTGTGGTGTGTGTGTGTAGGGTGTGGGTATGGTTGTGGTGTGTGTGTGTCCTTTGTTAATTGATAATAATAATAATAATGGTTGCCCCTCATGTAACGAGGATGGCCGGCCCTAGGGCCACGTAGGTGTGAATTTGTTTAAGGTGTAGAAGCTGTCGCCAACACAACAACCACACCCTGAGTTTACGAGCTGCATGACCCAGTGTCAAGGAATAGTCCGAGAAGACCGGACAACTCGCCAACTGCACTGGCTAACCATTACCCCGGAACACGATCCGCAAATCGATTAACATCTAGGTTCCCAATTACTGGTCAGCATGCTCGCCTCGCAAGCGAGCGGACCAGGGTTTGATCCCCAGGCAGGGTGGAACCATGAGCAAGTTTCGTTATGCCATTTTCCTCTGTCTACCCTTTGTTAATTAGAACTATTCTAAGTAACAGTACCTTCACCTCTGTACTTATTACTTAAGATAGACAAATATTGCTTTAATGTATACGATTGATACATTCCTAAAAAACACATTGATTCTTTTTTTTAAATAAGGGTCAAAATTACCTGGTACTTTAGAATAGGTGAATTACTGTCCAAACTTTCATACTCCACTAAAGATAAATATATATATATATAGACACACTTGCAATCTATTTTTTTTTGTCTTGAGTTACAGACATGCAAATTTTGATCTCAGCCGCCCCTTCCGTGACCCGCGAGAACTAGATTACAATAGCTCACCCAAAAAGCAATCTCGTACTATTTATATCCACAGTGGTCGAGTTGCCGGTTCGTGACTTTTACTGGACCAATGTTGCCATAAAGCGAGGCTGTGTATTTCTCTATTATTATTGGGTCTGGTTGGACTCTTATTATGAAGTGACTGTGTGGGTGGTGACTGATGGTGGTGATTGTTATTGGCGGTAACTGATGGTGGTGATTGTTGTTGGCGGTAATTGATGGTGGTGATTTCTGTATTAGATTTTGTTACTTTTGTCATTATTATTATTATTATTATTATTATTATTATTATTATCATTATCATCATTAATGTTGTTTCCAGAAAGTTCAATAATACATGGATTATTTTCCCACTTGTATACTTTATATATGTCTTAATCAAGGTCACGGGGTCAAAGGTCAAATTTTTGTTGGTCAATAAGTGGAGAGAATGAAGGAGGGGTGTGTAAGAGCCACTTAAAACTGATGGCAATATCGTGTGTGTTCTCCCAATGTGTGGCGTCCGCAAATATCGTACTGAACACCGTATGAGGTTGACAGTGTTTTGTTTGTAGTTTATTGTTGTTGTTATTGTTATTATTATTATTATTATTATTATTATTATTATTATTATTATTACCATCATCGTTAACCACTTCTCTTCCCAAATGACTTATAAGCTAGTTCACATGTACCAGGTCATCACATACACACACACACACACACACACACATCTCAAGGAAATCACCGTGGTTGGACGATTAGCGCGCCAACTTTCTAGCTCACACACACACACACACACACACACACACATATTGCCTTCAAACTTTACGCACGGATTCTTGAGGGGAATTCCGGGTAACTTACTGCGTCTAGCTGAGCCTTAGAGGTCAAAGGTCAGAGGTCACTTGGTTTGGCTGGCACTGAGTCATTGGTTAGGTTACTGACAAGACTGATTATGTTTATGCTTTTGGTATGTGAGTGTGTCTGTCTGTTTGTCATGGGTGTGTGTGTGTCCTCATTTGTGTGTGTGTGTGTGTGTGTGTGTGTTATAGCCTGAATCAATGAGGGAAAAAACACACATACCGGTGCTAATCTGGTTCAACGGAAGTTTGTCCTCAATTCACGGTAAAACAAACACATACATAACGCCTTCCTTTGTTCTTTGTTGTTCATTATTATTATTCATTTGTCATTATTATTCATTATTATTCATTATTTGGTTGTGTTTCTCCCAGGAAGAACTGTGTCATGTACTGTGGGGAATTGGGGGTAGGAAATGTGGTGGTGGTGTTAGTGGTGGGGTGGAGGGTGGCGCAAGGGGAGTGACCGTGATAGTATAGTGAGTGACTGTGATTATAAGTACAGTGAGTGACCGTGATAGTATATTGAATAACCGTGGTAGTATAGTGAGTGACCGTGATAGTATACAGTGAGTGACCGTGATATTATAGTGAGTGACCGTGGTAGTAAGTACAGTGAGTGACCGTGATAGTATAGTGAGTGACCGGGATAATAAGTATACAGTGAGTGATGGTCATAGTAAGTATAGTGAGTGACCGTGATAGTAAATATAGTGAGTGACCGTGGTAGTATAGTGAGTGACCGTGATAGTACAGTGAGTGACGTGATAAGTACAGTGAGTGACCGTGATAGTATAGTGAGTGACCGTGATAATAAGTATACAGTGAGTGACCGTGATAATAAGTACAGTGAGTGACCGTGATAGTAAATATAGTGAGTGACCGTGATAATAAGTACAGGAGTGACCGTGATAATAAGTACGTGAGTACAGTGAGTGACCGTGATAATAAGTACAGTGAGTGATCGTGATAGTAAATATGGTGAGGACCGTGATAATAAGTACAGTACCGTGATAGTAAATATAGAGTGACCGTGATAATAAGTACAGTGAGGACCGTGATAATAAGTACAGTGAGTGACCATGATAGTAAATATAGTGAGGACCGTGATAATAAGTACAGGAGTGACCGTGATAGTATAGTGAGTGACCGTGATAATAAGTATAGAGTGAGTGACCGTGATAGTAAATATAGTGAGTGACCGTGATAATATAGTAAGTGACCGTGATAGTAAATACAGTGAGTGACCGTGATAATATAGTGAGTGACCGTGATAGTAAATATAGTGAGTGACCGTGATAATAAGTACAGTGAGTGACCGTGATAATATAGTGAGTGACCGTGATAATAAGTACAGTGAGTGACCGTGACAGTATATTGAATAACCGTGGTAGTAAAGTGAGTGACCGTGATAGTATAGTGAGTGACCGTGATAGTATAGTGAGTGACCATGATAGCATAGCGAGTGACCGTGATAGTATTGTGAGTGACCGTGATAATATAGTAAGTGACCGTGATAGTAAATACAGTGAGTAACCGTAATAGTATAGTGAGTTACCGTGATAATAAGTATAGAGTGACCGTGATAGTACAGTGAGTGACCGTGATAGTAAGTATATACCATGAGTGACTATAGAGTGTCAGTATGCATAAAGTATGTGATAATGGCTACAGTGAGTGACAGTATTTTATATATACACATACAATGAGAGACCAAGGGTGTTGGCAGCAGTCATGCGGACTAGACGGCCTTGTAACAACCCGACCCTAACTCACCGACACATCACACTAAAACTTCAAGAATAAAAAAATAAAAAAAATAAAATATATATATATTATTTAAATATTTACCATGAAAGTTAAAAATATTTCGACACCACGACAGCGGGTAAATTTCAGTGGGGTGGAGTACTACTGATAACTCCCATTGTCCGACACCTGTAGCAGATATCAAAGGTCATCTAGGAAGAGGGGTTAATTAAAGGTGATTAAGAGCTCACGTCCCTAGTAAAGTGAAATGTTACTAGTGTACGACCAGGCTACACCGAGCGGGTATGCACAAATGAACAAACCCTCACTAGTTATCGATCCTGCTTAAAACTCTTCTGCTGCTCTATGTACACCTGCGTTAGTACTTCCCATTTTATACTGTATGTGGGATCATTAGTGTTCAACACATTATTTGTTTACGTGTGCGATTTAAATATGTCAGCATCAGTGTCACGTGTAAATCTTACTTCATGGGAGGCCGAGGGATGAATTCTAAGACGCGCAGGAATCTCTCTCTAGCTTCAACGTATTTAACAAAGAATATCTAAGGTAGAAATTAAATATGTTACAGCCATCATTTGCATCATGAAAATACAAAATAAACGCGAGTAAGTGAAGTCGACGTGCGGGCCGCTCGACGCGGAACGGCGGTGTGTTCGGCTGCAGGGAGAAGCTCGCCGCCCATGACGCATTGCAGGTAAAGTTCCACCAATCACAGGCCGCCTATCCGCAGCTCGAACCGCGCAACACCCTCCGCCATAGCATATAGTTCCACATTTTCTGTTTAAATTAGATATTGAGTCTTTATTGCGTGTCAAATAGCATCATTTACGTTTATTTGTAATTAGGGTGTAATAAAATTATGAACATATTAATTAGAAATTAGAAATAATAAGACCGATGCAGAGCCTGCCACAAGGTGGTGATAAGCGGGAGTGTGGAGTGGCGGGAGTTCGCAGTCACTCTGAGACAGTGGTACCGAGCAGACGTCTGTCGATTGGCTTGTGATACTTACACGCACCCAAAATGGTAGGTGTTTCGTCCTGGCTTCTACATGAATAGGATATCTATGTTGTTATTCTGGTATAATACACGCTGAACCAACAGATGGTATTTTTAAGGCGAATAACTCATTTCCTGTGACTTGTTCAAGGCAGTCGAGTAACGTCACTCTTGTCAGCGTCCAGCAACCGAGAATTACATTTTCACGTTATGAGAACTGGCAAGCTAATTCCAGTGTCACAATTTGATCCTAAAGAAATACACGCGATGATTGTGTTTGGATGAAGCCAGCACAGCTCTTAACATTTGAGTGGAGCCCGCCAAGGTTGGCTGTATCGACGCAACGTTGCCAAATTGTGTCAAACGAAGATTTTTTTTTTATTCACCCTTGACATTTGGCCGTTCATTGACAGGGGACTTGTAATTTATGAAGTTAAAAATTTATTGCGGCATGGCTTCCTGTCCGGCGGTATTGTCTTCCCGGCGAGTTAGTTACAATATAGAGAGCGCGCCATTTTCACCTTGTGTGCTGGCCTCTCCCTCCCTCCCTGCCCGGCTGCCGTACACAAAATAGCTGCTTCTCAGTTCACCGGCTCGTCCCTAATACTGACAGATGTAGCTCCGTGTAATGAGTACCATACAGCTTACTGGGGTGTTGTCTTGCTCAGGTTGGAGGGAGGCTGTCGGTAGTGTGTCGTAAGATATAGGAAAAGTCTTGGGGTGTGGTGAGGGCCACCGTATGCTGCTCCAAGACTGTGTTAATAATTTATTCGGCTCGTTCGTTACCCGGCTTTTGGCTATTTACCGTTATCACCGGCTTTTATTATACCCTTGAAGTTTTCAAAGCCGTAATTAAGGAAGTTTGGTAATTTTGTTAGTTTTCCATGTTGCGGAACTCGTCGATTTGCTTACACGAGCTTACAAAACCCGTTACCTCGCAGACCACGCCCATCACGGCCACCTTTACAAGACTCGTATAGATTCACCGAAATGTGAACACCACAAGACCCGCATATACACCTCATAGTACTGATAATGTGCTGTTAGACTCGTATTAACACCACCTCCCCTTCCCCCATCACCTTCACTATTAGTTCTGACACTTACCATACTACCGCCCATACACTGACACTTCCCCCTCCCCACCCGTACGTCGATACCACACGTACCACTTTCACTAACAATTGTCCCAATGCCCACACTACCTTTACTCTCTCTGACACTTCCCCCAACCACCTTCACTCCCTCTGACACTTCCCCCACCACCTTCACTCCCTCTTGACACTTCCCCCACCACCATCATTCCCGCTGACACTTCCTCCACCACCATCATTCCCGCTGACACTTCCTCCACCACCATCATTCCCGCTGACACTTCCTCCACCACCATCTCTTCCGTTGACACCTCCCCACTATCTTCACTCCGACACTTCCCATCCAACACCCGTAAGCTGACACACTCCATCACTACCTGTACGCTTGAATTGAAACAGTTTATTTAGCCAGATAAACAGATAGTGGATAATAATAACAATATTAACATGGCTGAGCCAGTTGAGAACCTGAGCTCTCTTTTAGGCACCTGATATAGACTGTACATATCTCAGGGAAGTATTATGTAACCCGTACGCTGACACTCCCCATCACCACCCGTACGCGGGTCCCCCCAATCGACCACCCGTACGCTGGCACTTCTAACAGTTCCCCCTCTCCTACGCTGAGTTTCCCCCACTCACTGACAGTTTACCCTCACTCTGAGCTTTCCCACTCCCAACACTGATCGTTTCCCCTCTCCTACGCTGAGTTTCACAATCCCCTATACTGACAGTTTTCCCTCTCGACATCCATAGGCAGTTTGTAGTTCCTCTCCCCAGCAGCCATACGCGACAGTTTCCCCTTTTACCTCCAACACCTATACTGTGACAATTTCCTCTTCTCTACCCGTCTACTGACACATTGACCTCCCAAAATCTTTTGAGCTGATACGTCCTCCAGCACCCAGACGCTGATACCAGACATGTACAGTATATATTTCCCACAGGCCGTGCACGGCTGCGATCTCCACCACATTCCCTACATTACCATGGTTAACCTTCGGGCCGTGCAACACCTCGGTCGCCCCTCGGGCCGTGCAACACCTCGGTCGCCCCTCGGGCCATGCGCGCTAGTGCGCGCACAGTTGTATCATGATCAAACCCCCCCCTCCACACACACACACACACACAGTAAACGTACGCATGCGCTCAAATCTTTACATTCCGTAAGCTAAGGAATATGTTCTCAAGACGCAAAAATCGGTAAATTATTTAAATCTTCAATTCAATTGATGTTTTATTGATCAGTCATTGAAGCTCTCAGAACGGATTAATTTCGGTCGTCCACAAGAGAAAATGCTGGTTCCCTTTCAACCTTACTTGCACAACAGCGCCACCTATCCGATGCTCCGAGACCACGATTTTTCTCCTGGTGAATTAATAATTTTATTTTGTTACTATAGTTTGTTTTCATTAGTAATAACTTTACAGGTTTGCCTTTTATCTTCCACATTTTTTTCAGATCAAATAAATGGTATCGGTATCTCCTTAGAGGCACTGCAGTTCTCTAACCTTGGACTTGGATTTTTATTTCAGTTACCGAGATGGTATATCTAAAACTGTACATACAGTTTATGGCTTTCCTTCCAGTCCCGTCCAGGTGATCGAAGTATATAAGAGTACACGAATTGGTAATTTAATTTTTGGAATAAACGGTACTGTAAAAACTTGAACGATGAAAACAGAGCATCGTCCTTGAGGACAGTGTTTTAACAGGGGAATTGTATGTAATAAGTCATTTATGTCCAATGTATATTTTCAGCCTTCGGGCTGCAGAACTTTTTCAATAAACCGTTAATTATTGTTATTATTATTATTATTAATATTTGGCTGGACTGGCCATATTTACCTTGGCCTGTGAAAGGTTACTAGGTTCACAATTACCCAATTGGGAAGTGTGATAATCCTGTTTTTAACTCGCCGGTCACTGATCAAGGGGTGGACATGTGCATTGGCTTGGGAAATGCCTTTTTTGAGTGGGTTAATCGAGAGGGCGAGGGCAGGCCGAATTCTAAGTCTTAAAAACGGAAGTTTGTCTCAAAATTAAAATGTGCAAATTCAAACCAAACTTTACCTGTCGAAGTATTGCATGGTTGACCACGATTTTTTATTGAACCAATTAATCATTGAATACCTTTATAGCATTTCTTTTAAGGTTGAAGGACGCTAGCTGCTGTAAATGAAAAAATTACAACTTTTGAATTGTATCCTGTCTGTAAAAATATACTGTACAGTATTGTATAATTTTAAAATGTGTCCAAGCTTTGAAAAGTCATCTTTGACTGGCAAAGCAAACCAAAATCTAACCTACCGGTACCCCGATATTTAATTTAACCGAAACTTTGCTCATGAAAGCTGATTTAGGCAAGATAGACTTGATCAATTGTTACTGTAACCTGTTCAGGTGAATACTATATTATCTGAAGTTCACTCTAGAAAGGTAAGATTTACAGGGTAGTAAACCTTCTTAATGAAAAAAAAAATACTTTAAACCTAGCTTTGGCACGAAAAGTTTTTCAATTTTACCAGTGCTCATTTTAGTGCAGTTGACAGCGTCAAATCGCATGTTTTCTCAAGAATCTTGAAGCCATTTCCGTTCGCTTAAATATGCTCCAATTGGAGAAAAATATTCCAGGAACGACATAAGTCTCCAGCTGAGTTTTTATTAATGAAATATATCAAGTCTTTCACGAAGACGCTATAAAGGAATACAGTGTAATGAAGGAACAGGTAAATTGTCGCATGCGGTGAAGCATTTACTGTACAGGTATATTAAAAATTCGGACCACTTTTTTTTTCTGATTGTAGGTTGGACGGGGTCATGTTTACAATTTGAATACTGGTTAAAGATATTGATAAAATATTTATTTGAAAATAATTCGTTGGGAAGACGATGTTAAGTAAATAATTACTTGTATGTAGATAATTATCGTAAATTTATTTGAAGTCATAGATATGCCAGGTGCTAATGTCTCTTAAGGAAGTACAGTTGGGAGTGTGATGGGGTGGTGGGCGACTTTCCCCGCCAGGTGTAAGTGCTGTGACCGTCAGACGTGGAACTAAGCGGCTCAAGGTTGTGGGCCAACAGAATTGCCGCGTTTACACAACATACTGTACATGTAAGGGTGGAAATCCTATGGTAATACCGCGTACGGCGACTAAGTAGTACCACACCCGCCGGCTCCTCAACCTTCACCTCTGCCTTTCACTTTTCAATTTATCGTCTCCATGTCATTACTCAGCGGCTGGGAACCGCAGACGGCTCTGTTATATGCCAACCTCTGGGGCAGACCAAAGTTTTGTCAGTTCAACTAACTTTTACGGTATACGTTCCGGTCCCACTTCACGAACTCCCACCTTGTTCTGGTCCCACTTCACGAACACCCACCTTGTTCTGGTCCCACTTCACGAACACCCACCTTGTTCCGGTCCCACTTCACGAACTCCCACCTTGTTCTGGTCCCACTTCACGAACACCCACCTTGTTCTGGTCCCACTTCACGAACACCCACCTTGTTCTGGTCCCACTTCACGAACACCCACCTTGTTCTGGTCCCACTTCACGAACACCCACCTTGTTCTGGTCCCACTTCACGAACACCCACCTTTGTTCTGGTCCCACTTCACGAACCCACCTCCCACTTGTTCTGGTCCCACGAACACCCACCTTGTTCTGGTCCCACTTCACGAACACCCACCTTGTTCTGGTCCCACTTCACGAACACCCACCTTGTTGGTCCACTTCACGTCCCAACGTGAACCCACCTTGTTCTGGTCCTTGTTTCGTCCCACTCCCACACCCACCCCTTGTTCTGGTCCCACTTCACGAACACCACCTTGTTCTGGCTTCCCACCTTGTTCTGAACACCATCCCACTTCGTGTGTTCTCCCATCTTGTTCTGGTCCCACTTCGTGAACTTCACCCACCTTGTT